CAGAACGAATCGGTATGTTGAATCGGTATTCTTGTGTAATGAGTGGCAGGGGCGGGTAATTTTCCACGAACTCCACGAGGACGTACAAAAGGCTGTTTTCTGGAGTATCCCTTGAGGAGCTCTGACAAAAACGTGGAGTTGGTCTTTAGCTCCATCTTTTTGTTGGAGCAGAGTTCCTGAAGTTTGATCTGTTTGGCTAGCCAAGTTTGGAGCAGAGCTAGAAAAGCTGGAGTGGAGCAGTCCCAAACAGGCCCTAAGTGCAGTATTAACCATCCGTGCCATGGATGATCTTCTCCATGGGATTGGGATCGCACCAGACAGCAATATATATAAGAACCACAAGAAGGTCTACCTGGCCTCTGCCCTTCTCAGCTAGCGGTCAGCGCTCAGCCTCATACTTGGCCATCGCTGCTCAGTTGATCTCAGAATTTCTAGCTTGGCAGTCTGCAGGCTGCAGATACATGATTTCCTTCCTCATCAAGACGTTGGAATGAAGATAATGTTTACTCATGACTTTGATTCCAAGGGTACAAAAATTCACTTTTATTGGATTTTCATATGAACGTAACATTCGTGATATATAATAACTGTAAAGTAATATGCTATTCTCCCATCTCTGTACGCGCGGCAGGGGTAGACGTCGAAAGGGCTCCCCTGCTGCTGCACTGTAGCCGCGGCAGGGGTAGGCGTCCGAAAGGCTCCCCTGCCGCACTGTAGCCACAGCAGAGGTAGACGCCAAAGTCAGACTTGTTGTCACATCAAGTCACTGTAGCAGTCTGACAGTCTGGCATGTCTATGTACTATGATTCGATGGGTAGAGTTGTATATATAGCTACGCACTGCAACTCAGTGAAGTAAGCGGGTTCGGTTTTGCCATCTCCTCTGCAGAGTTTCGGCCAACGCTGGTGCTTTGTGTTGTGTGTGCGCTCTGTTCGCCCTCCCTCTTCTACCTCCAGCCATAGTGTGTGTGCGAGAACACCGGTGACCGATCGGCTCACCCGTGCGGGAGATCCCGGGCACAACAAATGGTATCAGAGTCGTATAAGCGCCGTTGCCGGACTAACCGCTGGCGATGACGGATAATTTAGAGATGGGGGACAGCAGCGGCGCTGCTGTGGCTGCCCAGCCACGATAGGAGGTCGTCGTGCGCACGGTGCGGAAGGTCAGCGGCACCAGTTGGCTGACGCTGACTCGCACCAACTATGGTGGGGATGGTGACCATAAAGGTCAAGCTCAGAGCCCGACGGCTTTAGAATGTCATTGACAAGGGCACTAACAACGAAGAAGATGACATGTCAGCGTTGGAGACTATCCTCGCTGCTGTGTCAGCGGAGTACATGGAGCCATTGGGGCAAAGAACTCCGCTAAGGAGGCGTGGGAGCCCATTGCAGCGATGCGCGTCGGCTCCGAACGCGCAAAGAAGGCAACGACTCAGCTCAGTCTGGGCGTTCGGTTAACCGAAACCAATTGGTTCGGTTCTTCAACTAATTCGGTTATCTGAGAAGAAGGGACCGATCGGTTACTTTGAAAATGTGGAACCGAGGAATTTCGGTTTCGGTTAATTCGGTTCGGTTTCGGTTCTAACCGATGGAACCAATTTTTTCATAAATCAAGAAACAACCCATTGAATTGCAAAATTCGGCAGCATTTAGCCTGATTTTCATGCTGTTAAAAGGGACAATTTAAACAACAATGCAGCATAAAACAATAGTACAACACATATATGTTATTGTTCTCTCAAATATTCAAGCATAGAACAATATTCAAGCCTGCACTAAAAAAACAAGAGGTCCAACAGCTTAGTTCAGTTATTTCAGCTCAATTCGGTTAACCGGGTGCTGGAACCGAATTAACCGTAATAATTTCGGTTCCTGAGAACCTGGAACCGAACCTGGGACTGAATATTTTGGTTTCGATTCCGGTTAGTTCGGTTCGGTTCTCGGTTCTTGATTTTTTGTGCCCAGGCTGAGGCTCAGCTGCTGAAGTAAGAGTACGCCACCCTCAAGTTCAAGGATGATGAGTTGGTGGAGGACTTCTCCATCGACGAAGAAGAGGTGGTCTCCAAGTACCTCCACTCTGTGCCGGTAAAGTACATCCAGATCGCTCTCTCCATAGAGACGATGCTTGACTTATCCACCCTCACAATTGAGGATGCGATAGACTATCTGCGGGCGGTGGACGAGCGCATGGAGCAGGCCACAACAACGACGGACAACGGCAAGCTACCGCTGACAGAGGAGGAGTGGGCTGCCCGGATGAAGGAGAAGAAGTTCGGAAAAGCCTCCTCCAACCACGGTGGCGATGGCAAGCGCTGCGGCAAGGCTTCTTCGGAGAAGAAGAAGAAGAAGGTCGACCCCAACGCCTGCCGACGCTGTGGGAAGAAGGTCCATTAAGAAAAGGAGTGCCCAAATCGTAAGAAGGAGAAGAAGACTGATGCTCATTTAGCGTAGGCTGATGATGATAATGAGGCCACTCTCCTGATGACGATGTTCTATGCACTGCACGACGTTGAGGCCAAGGAGAAGGGAGAGGTGATAGTGGTGGAAGGGCACAACAAGGCTCTAAAGGCTGTCAACTTCGACGAACCGCGCGCCCAAGTCCACCTCGGACATGTGGGCGATGAGCAGAAGCAGCGTTTGTTCCTGGACTCCGGCGCCAGCAACCACATGACGGGCTTTAAGGAAGCCTTCTTCGAGCTCGACGGCAACGTGACCGACACAGTGAAGTTCGGTGACGGCTCAAGGGTGACGATCCGAGGGCGCGACACCATCGTCTTCAAGTGCCAGAACGGCGAGCACCGCGCGCTGATGGATGTATGTTACATCCCGCAGCTGCGTTCAAGCATCATCAATATTGACCAGCTGGATGAGCGCGACAGCGAGGTACTGATCAAAGACGGCGTCCTCAGGATCAGGGACCGAGAGCAGCGCCTTCTTGCCAAGGTAAATAAGTCCCGGAACCGGCTATACCTGCTCGACTTGAAGGTAGAGCAGCTAGTGTGCCTGGCAGCACGGCACACCGAAAAAGACTAGCCCACAACATACCAAGGCACTTGTGCCTAACTTAACCCAAAAGACTAGCCTGATAGGTGAGGATTGTCCTTGTCTTATATGTTGTGCTCCCCACCATCAATTATCGATGTGGTACTAAACCTAACATTTGGTAAAACATTGACGACAAACGTAAATCTTGGTTTATCAATGAATATATCTTTAGTACTTTTTTAAAAAAGAAAAAGAAAAAGAAAAAGGCATGAGCTCTGCCTTGTATTTTTAAAGAGGGAAAGAATGACACAAAAGGTGTGTATCAGGTTTATCATATTGTTTGAGCAGCTTTCTGCATATTTTCCAACATCATATTTACCAATAATAGGACAAGGATAGAGCATGAATATACACTGACACAAGACAATGTGATTGACAAGTGGTGATGCTACAATAGTGGCTCTAGCGAGGTGCTTGAGAAAATGCATCTTGGGTTTGTTGGAGCATCTCCAAGAGATTAGCGAAAAAGATTAGGCAAATTTATTGATTTAGCTACTCTCTAAAATAGATTTAGTAAAAAATACTAGAGTACTCTGATAGACTCTGTAAAATCAAGACGCTAGATAACTAGTGAGGTAGGCTATCTAAAAATAGAGAGCGAATGAGGTGGGATGGAGAGCAACTAAATTTAGAGAGTCATTTACAGAATTTGTTGGAGACGTTTTTCCTTCAATAATAACCAAATTTATCTTTAGAAAACGATTTGACTAATCTCTTGGAGATGCTCTGAAGCAACATTTTGCTACGTTGCTTTGGCTTCAAACTCTATAGCTAAGTGATCCGAAGACAATTCCTCCATTAAAATGTGGTTTTAATTTTTTTCTGCACATAACATGCATGTATCTGGTTGCATAAAATAAACTACAGGTTTTTAACTGCCTCTTTATATTTTATTTGATTAATATCCCAAGTAAAGTATATTATAGCATCAGCATCCCACATCACAAAAGGCCTTTGCTGCCCTGATGAAATTCGAGGCACACTGGGCCTGGCTGGTGCACATAGGCCTACACGAGCGGGCCAGGCCCACATCCATCTCTCCACTCTCTTCTTCCCCGTCCGTCTCTACCGAGCAGAGAAAGGTGGAGAAGCCATCTGACAAATCTCAGGAGCGGAGAACCCAACCACCACCACACCTCTCTCCCCCCAATCCGTCTTCCTCTTCCCCATCCGTCCTAGTCTTCGCACGCAGCTTCGCCAGGATCGATTCGCGAGTCCTCTCCCGTCCGGATCGAGGTTCATGGTGAGCAACCTCCCCCTCCCGCCCTAGTTTCTCCAACCTAGGATTACTGTTTTACTTCTATACCAATCCAAATCTTCCCTCACCTGCTCAAACACCATGTCTACTTCGCCTCCACTTACCTCGCAGCCGCAGCCGCAGCCGCAGCCGCTGCCTGGCATATGGTAGAATACTAAAAGTAGGAAACCCCGTCGCTGCGCGCCTACTCATCGATTTCCCTAATAAAGACTTTTTTCAAAGTGACAAAAGTAGGAAACACCGTGTTTTTGTCCTACCTTCCCCTCGGTAGACTTTCCAATTGTATGAAAAAAGTATGATCACCATATGGCAAAAGTAAAAAAAATCTCTTTTGTGATAGAATGAGCACAAGCAAGATGGATGGAGTTGTCAGCTAACAAACTACTTCGCCTCCACTTACCTCGCAGCCGCAGCCGCTGCCTGCACCTGCTAGTTCCATTAGTTCGCGCGTGTATCAATCTGGTTTGATTGTGTGTACCGTCTGATTAACCATCACTTCCATTCCTTTCGTTGGCAGGTTTACATATGCGCGCGTGTTTACTGATGCATATCACGGGCACCTGATCCGGATGTCCTGTGCTGTCCAGCAGACAGATCTCCTGCTTCCTTCGAGTCCAGTTCATGTATGAACTCTTCCTTTCCCTGGCACGCTGCTAGATATAAAAGGCTGTCTTGGATTTAAAAAGAACCAGATATCCATGTCTGATCAGCAAAGGCACTACGGCAGCTACGAGCTCCTCCCCGCTCAGCCAGATGTGCAGTGCCTGGTCTGCACACAGCCTTTCACTCTGGATGCCGAGGTCACCAACAGCTTCGAAGCTTTAGCCATATGCAGGGAGTGCAAGATGACTGTGCTCAGTGACAGCAACAGGGACGAGACTCCCAGAACTAACCGACAGAGAAGATGGCAAAGGCAAAGGTCCAGCAGGCTGACAGGGCACGAGCCGCCCACGGAGGAGGACGCGTTCCCGCAGCAGTTCTCCCAGCTGATCAACTTGGCCAGACAGGGTCATGAGTCGGATGCTGATTCTCCGATGGTTCCGCCACGCCAGCACGCGTCTTATAGTTCTACGCCGAGCCGGTCCCAGAGATGGCACACTTCGGATGATGAGAGTGATGGTCTGAGCTATGCTGATTCTGTGTTTGGTGAGATCGAGTTTGAGTCGAACATCAGTTTTGGTGATGAGGGTGGGGAGTCGGATGCTTCTGTTGATCGCCACGCCACGATTGGGAGGGAAATTGTCATTCAGCTTGAGAATGAGAGCTACATGAACACGGATACAGATATTGATCCTATGAATGCTGGAATATACCAGTGGGACTCGGATGATCCTGAAGATGATGATGAGGATGAGCAGTCAGAAGAGTCTGATTTGGATGAAGCAGGTGACACCATGCAGGAGCGCCGGCAGCAATGGCATGATATCGCCCCAAGTGGATTGAATGAGCAGGAATCTGAAGGTGCTGCGTGGACTTGGAGAACAGCTGGAAGCCAAGGAGTAAGCAGGACTGATCTGAGAGCCGACATGGAAGGGCGAGAAATCAGGAGAGTTTTTATTGGGAATCCCGGAGATTATGTTGATGCAAGACAGTTTGAAATGCTTCTCGAGCAGTTTGCCGAGGATAACAATTCCAGAAGAGGAGCTCCACCTGCAGCGGCATCTTTCATCTGTGGTCGTCTCCAAAAGCTATGAGATAAACGGTGGTGTAACCTGTCCAGTCTGCAAAGATGACATGCCTGTCACAACTGTTGCCAAACAGCTACCATGCATGCATCTATACCATTCATCTTGCATCTTGCCATGGCTTAGTTCTAGGAATACATGCCCAGTTTGTCGTTACGAGCTTCCTACAGATGACCCGGAATATGAGAGGTCCAAGCATGCCACAGCCAATGAGGGAGGTATCCATGGGGTGGAGCGTACCCATCTGCAGGAAGTTGTTGAAGAAACTTATGAGCCTGAGGTTGATGGAGGTTCTAATACAGGTGGCGATACAATGGAAGAGACTAATACACGTGAACATGCTGTTCCTACTGCACGGCAGCCAAATGGAGCACATGGGCGTCATAGATGGCTGTTTATTGCAGCAGCTCCAGTTGTAAGTCTTGTCAGTTTAGCTCTAGTTTTGTGCTTCACCAACCCAGCTGGCAATGTTAGAAGGCAATTGTGCCGTAGATCCCAGACTACCACTACGACACATGTAGACACAAGAAGAAGTTGGTGGTCTATGTTCTAAATATTCAGTGCATACCTGCTGATACCAAATGTCTGTGTGATGGCGTGTGCTTGTTCACTTGTGTATGAAAAGGTTCAAGATTAATTTGAAGTTCAAACTTTGTGTCTGCTGACGTGATCCACCAAGGAGTTCTTGTACCCAAGTTCAGTCAGTTCAGCAAAACAAATACTGATGATTGCTGCTGTTGATTAATAGTTTGTATGTTTGGTTGCTTAGATTGTAACTTCAAGCATGTAACTAACACTCTGCCTGAAAGTTTACCCATGCATTCATCAGTAAGTACCTAAAATATCTGTTGTCTTGTTGTCTCATTGTGCATGATGCTTGTTGTAATTTGACTGGTAATTTGCAAGTCCTATGAAACTTCTGCTTTAAATTAAATATGCTTAACTCTCCACTCCAAAGTTTAATCCATGCCTTAAACAATCTATTGCTGACCTTGTTTTTTTTCTTCTGATATTTGCCTTATGTTAAAAAAATATCTGTTCCAACGATGAGGTAATTCCTCATTTATTATTTGAAGCTCACTCGTGTTTTATTTGTGACTTTTTTCCTCATTTTCTTTCTTTCTTTCTGATATAAAACTCTTGCCTAGATTAATCTAGTCTCCTGTGTCATTCTAGTTACATAGTGCAGAGTTATACGTAGTAATAATATATGGTGGCTGTATGTTCTCACGAAGTAACACAGGAAGGGAAAATTTTGCAAGCAGAAAGCCTTAAATCAAGTTGCTAAAAGTCTAGTGATGAATACTTGCCATGTTTTCAAGGTGGCATGTTTCTGAAACCACGTGCTGGAAGTGATCTAAACAATGAGAGAACGTCAGTAGGTCAGGAAAAGGACAATCATTCACCATTATTAAAACAAGTATATGGGTAAATGGGAGTCAGTAGGTCAGGAAAAGGACAAACCACCACTCATTTCTTCAACAAGGATAGGAACAGATGGGAGCTTTTTTAAAACTGGAATATATAGGAGTTCGTTACTGAGTATTTTAAGCTAGAAGACTATACAAGTACTGATTGCCTTGTATGTTTGACATAAGACTCATTTGTTCCTCTCATACTTCCCCCTCTAATGGAGAAACTACTTGAGATAGTTCTAGTTGTTTCGACCATACTTCTTGGCTTAGCTCTAGTTTACTTATATGAAGTCCTATGGCTGAGGCTGGAGAAGATAAGGAAAAAGTTGAGGAGGCAAGGCATAAACGGTCCTAAACCTACTTTGCTCTATGGCAACACCCAGGAGATGAAGAGAATCCGACAAGAACTCAAGTGTGTGCAGAGGCAAGACAAAGACATGAACGGCTACATATCCACCATCTTCCCTCATTTCCTTCTCTGGAGGAAGACATATGGTATGTATAGAATCCCTTGCTTTTGCTTATCTGTTTATATAAGGGTCGCTGCAATGAGACTGATAGCATGATCGTGATTGTTTACTTCATTCTGGAATCACAACATCTTTCCATAATCGGAAGCTAGAAACGTAGTGTTCATAAAAGGCTAGACAGTAAGGTTAATTAACTATGCTTGAAGAAAACTCTGCATCAGTCTCCCAAATATGAGGATGGCCAGAACCTTACATCATATACTTAGCATTTAAGTAAGTCTTAGATGCCTTTTGCGATGTTAATCATCTTGTGTGAGCATGCTTTTCATGTCCAGAAATCCCCAATAACAAAGATGACAGATGTTGATGGAAGATCATTCAGTCTTTGCCACTATGAGTATTAGGCTATTATCTTGTTTCAGGATCACAAACAAGAATGCAGTTTAAGTATTTATCCCCTTGCCTATCTCTATCTGTCACTGTGCAGCTAGTTCTATACTTGAAGCTATGGACCTCCATTAGTAAGTTCCCCTAGGAGAAAATTTAGAAGTTCACTAAATAACATGTTCTGAAGTCTGAACTGATAGTGATAGCCAGATTTTGTATCAAGTATGGTTTTTTCATATGATCAGATATTTACCTTAATTAAATCCTTACATTTAGTTTGTGTACAGATAGTTGCCTCAGAAAAGACATCCATGAATACTTTATTTTCAACAACAACAAAGCCTTTGTTTTCTAGTGGACCCAAATATTAAGAATGAGTACTCTACTCTCTGAAGTTCAGTACTGTAAGTTTGTCCACGAGTAAGTAAGTAGGTTCTGTAGAAACCGTGGTCTAACATTAAGAAATATTTAGCTAAATGATTGTGTAGCTGTCCTGGGAATTTTGGACCTTGTTGTAGCTGAGAGATGCTTGTGACTTGGGTTGTCCTGTCTTGTGAACATTCTGTTGAACTTTCGCAATCAATGTATGCAGTTATAAGTGGTTGACTTTTGATTCATTTAAGTTTCCATTATGTATTGTTCTGTCATTATCTAAATATTTCAGTTCAGTTTGTTATGTCATTACATGGTGTTTGAAAATTGGAACAGGGCCCGTGTTCCTTTACTCAACAGGAGTTTTGGAGATATTGCATGTTGCTCAGCCAGAAATGGTAAAAGACATGGGCCACTGGACTCCATCAGAGCTAGGGAAGCCACAGCATATAATGAAATCACGAAAACCTCTCTTCGGATTAGGTATATTGATAGCGAATGGCGACCTTTGGGCCTATGAGAAGAAGATCCTGGCACCACAATTCTTTGCAGAAAAAATTAAGGTTCTTAAATTTTACTTAAAAAAGCCCATATAACTGTATCATCAGCCTAAGCCTAACTGTGTTGTTCCTACCCTAAGCCTAACTGTGTTGTTCCTACAATGATAGGGTATGATAGGGCTGATTGTGGATGCAACCATTCCGCTGTTACAATCATGGGAGAATATGCTATGCTAGCACAGGAGGTAGTCAGGAGATCTATGTTGATGGATACCTGAGGAACTTTTCATGGATGTGGATTGCTAGAGCTTGTTTTGGGAGCAATTTCATAGAAGGAAAAGACATATTTTGCAAGCTCAGGCAGCTCCAGAAGTTAATTTCTCAACAGGATACATTTGTCGGGCTGTCTGCACTGTGGTAAGGGACTTTTGATTTTTTTTTTTTGAGAAATTACGAATGCAATGGAAATGAACACCTTGACTGGTTATTAATCTTGTTCTATTGCAGGAAATACTTGCCTACCAAGAGAAACTGGGAGATACAAAAGCTGGATCAAGAAGTCCGGTTACTAATCCTGGATCTCTCAAGGGAACACAGCAGCAAAAGCCGCAGCAATGCTGTCACGCACATGTCCACATATGACAACCTTCTGCATGCCATTGTTGATGGTGCAAACCAGTGCCCAAGCTATTCCAGTGCCCCTGAAGATTTCATCGTCGACAACTGCAAGAACATCTACTTTGCTGGGCATGAAACTACAGCGGTCACTGCCACTTGGTGCCTGATGCTACTTGCTGCACACCCGGACTGGCAGGAACGTGCACGGGCTGAGGCTCTAGAAGTGTGCTGTGGACAGACAGTGCTGGACATTGACGTCCTTCGTCAGCTGAAAATAGTAAGAGACTCTCCTCATTCCTGCAGGTCTAAATCTTTCTTTGGTGATGCACATTAAAAGTGGCATTATAATCTTTTGAAGCTTACAATGGTGATACAAGAGACTCTCCGGCTGTACCCTCCAGCGTCACTAATCATGCGTGAAGCCCTGACAGACATCAGGCTTGGTGGAGTTGACGTCCCTCGTGGCACCATTATCCAAGTAGCCATTTCAATGCTGCACCTTGACCTCGAAGCCTGGGGTCCAGATGCTAACGAATTTCATCCAGACCGGTTCGCAAATGGAGCTGCTGCGGCGTGCAAGCCGGCCCACATGTACATGCCGTTCGGATACGGACCAAGACTCTGCACCGGGCAAAACCTGGCAATGGCAGAGCTGAAGGTTCTTCTTGCACGCCTGCTGAGTAAGTTCTCGTTCTCATTGTCACCTGGGTACCAACACTCTCCGGTGTTTCGGTTGACCATTGAGCCAGAGTTTGGCATGCCCCTTGTGGTGACAAGGCTGCCATGAGCTCTGTTTCTGAATAAGTTGCTTCCTCTACGTGAATTGAACTTGTACAATGTGGGCTCGTATATAATGTTCAAGGAGGCTGACCTTTGATGCACTTGGGCTCATCAACTAGTGCTTCAGTGGAAGCGAGACCACAAGTCAACAAACCTGCAACACCCAACCACCATAACCAAACACCGAATTTGATGTCTGGTTGTGCCTGGTGCTACCACTTTATTTGAAGTTCCTGATGTTTCTTCTATATTAGTTTGTTCTTGTGACGAACTCAATCAAATATTTTCCTACACTACAATTTTCTGGGCTCAGGAGAGCAGACTATATTTGATACTTTCTATTTCTCAACTGTGCACCACTTATAGGCATGTTCAAAACTTGTGATGTAAACTTAGTTAACTGCCAGCTTCAGATTTTGAAGTTCAGCCATCCTCTGATTCGTGCCATGACAATGTGGTCTATGGTCTTAGAAGAACCAACTTGCCTCCAGCATGCCTTGTTTTAAGATAGGGTAGCATCCAGTGGTGGCACCGGAGGTAATCATATTCATATTCTTTTAAAATAGAAACATATGCTTATTTTGTTGCTGTTCTTTTTCTGCTCTAAAATGTCATGGTCTGTCACTGAAATTCGACCAAAGAAAGACATTTGACTACCCGGTATTTTCAAGCTATAATTGACATTGTGATTTGAAAGCTAGGAAGAAGACATGTATCGTTAGGTTCTGTATGTATATATACAAGAACAGATGGAAAAAGGCACATGGAAAAGGAGATAATATTTAAAAAATAATAATTTATTTTATTTTATACTAAAAGGCAAATGTCTAAACCCAGGTTTGCAGTATGGGACCTTCTTTGCAACGCGGGGATTTTATAGGAATTATGCTTGAATTTTATAGAAATCGATTCATTTTATAATAGAAAAAACACAGAAACCAGGAAAATATTGTACGGGCCTTAGCCCACCTGCAGATGAGCTAGGAAAAACCGCCGGCGTCACTATTCGCTAGCACTAAAGATGGCAATAGAGACCCGATACCCGATGGGCCAAAAGCTGAAAAGAGGTAAATGTATCGTAGACCCTTGAACTTGTCTTCGGATGTCACTTAGGTCCATGAACTCTCTAATCGTATTTCTGGCATCCTAATGTTGTTTGAGTATGCCACTTAGGTCCATAACTCATCGGAACAAGGTTTTGGCCGACGTGGCGTGAACAGAGCGCACGTGAGTCACGCGTGAGCCTGGTTTGGGACATGCAAATAAGCAGAGCGATCCCCTGCGCGGCGCCGAGCACGATGCGGTAGCGCACGTCCCACTCCAGCTGCGTGAACTACCACGGCCACGACAGCTCGCCACCGCTCTCGGAGTCGCTGCCACCGCTGCCACTGCCATTCTTCCCTCCAAAGCCCATCCGCTGCGCTCGAAGTATGCCGATCATGCCGAGGACCATCGCCATCGTCGCGGCCCCGACAGCGAGTTGCCGCTGAGCACAAGCCTGCTCAGCGTCTCCAGCCTGCCAAGCGCGTCTGGCACGGCGCCGTTGAGCCTGTTGTGCGAGACGTCGAGCTCCTGCAGGGCGTGCACCGCGGCGAGCGACTCCGGCAGCGGCCCGGTGAGCGAGTTGTTGCTGAGGTCAAGCATCTGGAGCTGCGAGGAAGTTGATGCTCTTCATGCCGGACACGGACGCCGGGATGGACCCGGCAATGCGGTTGCTGCCGAGGCGCAGGCGCATGAGGCTGGCGGCCTTGCCGATCTCCAGCGGCAGCCGGCCGGAGAGGTCGTTGGGCGAGCAACAGCTTGGTGAGGTTGCGGAGCGGAAGAGGCCCGTGGTATGACGCCGGTGAGGTGGTTGTCTTGCGAGAGGTTGAGCGCTGGAGGTTGGATAGGGACGCGAGAGCGTGGGCGGGATGGCGCCCTCCGGTTTGGTTCGCCACGCGAAAGAGCACTGCGCAGCCCGTCGGCCGGCCGAGATCGGGCGGGATGAGGCCGAGATCTCGTTGGTGTCGACTGCGGTTGCACCAGCCGACGTGGCGTTAGCGAGCTCCGGCGGGATGGTGCCGTGATGTTGTTGTCGCCGAGCATGAGGTCTGCGCAAGGCCGTGAGCCGACCCAAAGAACGGGGATGGATGGTGCTGGAGATGGAGTTGATGGAGAGGTCGAGCGAGACGAGCGAGGTGAGGTTGCCGAAGGAGTTCGGGATGGAGCCTGTGAGCGCGTTACGCCACAACAACAGCTTTCGCGGTGCGTGGCGGTAGCCACAGCCGAGCGACGGGGAGCGCGGGCGGACAGCGAGTTCTCGTAGAGGTAGATGTTGGTGAGGTTGGAGCATTTCCCCAGCTCCTGTGGGATGGCGCCGGAGAGCGCCATGGTGTAGATGGACAGCGTCTGGAGGCTCTGGAGCTGGCCCAGTGACGCCACGTGCGGTCTATCCACGCCACGTCGGATAAAACCTTGTTCTGATGAGTTATGGACCTAAGTGACATACTTAAATAACATTAGAGTGTCAGAAGTACGATTAGAGAATTTGTGGATCTAAATGGCACCCGAAGACAAATTCAAGGGCGTACGATGCATTTACCTCAACTGAAAAACTTCACGGCTCCGGAACGGAAACCAACCTAACTTGAAAGTACAAGGAGCTGACAAAACGAAAACACAACTGCACCTCTGTGAAACCACCACAGCTTGATCAAACAAACAAAAAAAAAAGTTGGCAACTCCTACTATGATATATAAATAAAGAAACAACTGATAAACACCAGCATCTCCGGCAAACAGCCACGGCTTGTTTTTCCTGTCCCTTCCTTTCCTTGCTCTAATTTTCCTTGGGGATTGATTAGCTAGGACAGGCGGCAACCTCACTCACTGGGACCAACTCTCATCTAGTCCTCCTTGATTAGGAGTAGTCTATCTAAAGTATAATAACCCTTCTCTCTGCTGTCTAGTCTTAATCATCATTTTTTTTCTCTCTCTGAAAACTGCCGTCACTACCATTTAGTAGCATTATCAGGATGCTGCGCTTGCACATATGGACATACCAACCACCTGCTCTCGTCACAGCAAACAGAGAGCTGAGCTTGTCCGTGCTCCCCTAGTCTTTCCTTTCTCTTGTTTTTTGCTTTTTTGGGTGCGGCACCCGGGAGCTTTATCTCCAGCTTTCCAGGTTCCCTGCTCACAGGCACAGGCACAAATGGAAGGTCTCTGCGTCTCCTCTCTGCGAGTGCTATGGCTGACCCTGCTGCCTGCGGTCTTGATCTGCGTCCTCCTCTTCTCCTACCTGTGGACCTTCCTATGGCTGAGACCGGAGAGGATCAGGCAGAGACTGAGGCGCCAGGGAGTGAAGGGCCCCAAGCCTTCTCTCCTCCTGGGGAACATACCGGAGATGAGGAGGATTCAGAAGCAGCTGGCCGAATCTGACCACCAAGAACAACAAGAAGCAGCAGCAGGGGGCAGCCATCGCTTCTCCTCCAATTACATGGCCGCTCTGTTCCCTTACTTCCTCCACTGGAACAAGGTCTACGGTATGTCCCGCCAACCCAACTTGTGCTGAATTGAATTGTTGCCTATTTGTTTCCAAATACCATTTTTGCATTTGTTTCGAGCTAAGCAGTGGTTCTGCTTTTACTTACTTTCTGTTCCTGCAAAATTGCAAATAGAGACACATCATTTTTCTGTCATAGCAGAAGCTTTAAATATCATGCAAGCAAAGCAATTGTCACATTGTGCTAGGTTCCATCTACCTGTATTCCACCGGAAGCATCCAGTTTTTGTTTGTGACGGATCCAGACATGGTGAGGGAGCTGGCCAACTGCAAGTCTTTGGATCTTGGAAAGCCTCGCTACCTGCAAAAGCAGCTTGGAGCGCTTCTTGGCACGGGAATCTTGACGGCAAACGGTGACCTTTGGGCACATCAACGGAAGGTTATCGCGTCTCACTTCTTCATGGACAAGGTTAAGGTAAAAATTCAGCCTTAGCAATGAACCTGTCAGTTGATGACAGAATGATTCATACACCTAGCTAGTGTTCTGTCTGGAACTCTCCTTCAATACAAAAATTATTTGTGGTTAGTGCTTACACACTAAATAAATTGTCTGTCATAATAACAGTTTGTAGTGGTGAATATGCGCAGGGAATGGTGGATTTGATGGCAGAGTCTGCAGATGAAATGCTGGTCTCATGGGAGGATATAGTTGACAGGGGAGGTGGCAGTGCAGAGGTGGTGGTTGATGAGTTCTTGAGGAACTTCTCGGCTGATGTCATATCAAGAGTTGCTTTCGGGAGCAGTTTTTGTGAAGGCGAGGAGATATTCAGCAAGATCCGACAGCTTCAGGTGGCAATGGCAAAGCAAGATATATTTACTGCTCTTCCTGGTAGTAGGTATGCTGAGAAAAAAAAAACTTCATTTGCACATTTTTTGTTTGTTTGTTGAACTAGTATCACCGCCACATGCTATTACTTGTGATATATACGATTTAGAAATCAGAATGCAATCGAGGGACAGAAATTGAGAGGGCAATTGAAGCAAAGGCTTCTTTTCTTCCTGAACTAATTCTGCACTGTGTTCCTTCAAATTAAAAGAAAAACTCTGCCTGCAGTGCATGAACTCCTCGATTAGCAATATGAGCTTATCGACATACCTGATGAGGAACATTTTCATGTATCCTGCTTCGATTCTTGCAAAATTTTTCCTCCTGGCTTGAATAAGATGTCGATTCATCAGATACTTACCAACAAATCGCAACCGAGAGATTCGGAGGCTCGGCGCAAGCATCCGGGACCTCATCCTGGACATATCGAGGAGGCATGAAGAAGAACACGACCCGCCGGCGACATCATCTGCGAGCAACGGCGACGGCCTCCTGCGTTCCATCGTCGAGGGCGCCAAGGCCGCCGCCGGCGCTTTCAGTCCCTGCACGGCTGAGGACTTCATCGTGGACAACTGCAAGAACATCTACTTCGCGGGGCACGAGACGACGTCGACCACCGCCGCCTGGTGCCTGATGCTCCTCGCCGCGCACCCGGAGTGGCAGTCCCGCGCGCGCGCCGAGGTCCTGGAGGTTCGCCGCCATCAGGGACAAAAGCCGGTGGACGCAGACACGCTCCGGAAGCTGAAGACGGTGACGATGGTGGTGCAGGAGACGCTCCGGCTGTACCCGCCGGCGCCGTTCGTGACGCGGGAGGCGCTGCGCGACCTGACACTCGGCGGGCTGCACGTCCTGAGCGGGACCGGCGTCCGGGTCCCGATAGCGCTGGCGCACCGCGACCCCGCCGCGTGGGGACCGGACCCCGACGGGTTCGACCCGGGGCGGTTCGCCAAAGGTGTGGCGGGCGCGTGCAGGCCGGCGCACATGTACATGCCGTTCGGCTTCGGCGCGCGCACCTGCGCCGGGCAGAACCTCGCCGTGGTGGAGATCAAGGTCGTGCTGGCGACCCTGCTGCCCAGGTTCGAGCTCGCGCTGTCGCCCGGGTACGTCCACCGCCCCGCGTTCAGGCTCACCGTCGAGCCCGGGAGCGGCGTGGCCCTGGTGCTTAGGAAGCTCTGCTCTGCTGATTGATTGCAAGCATGGTGTCGCCGTTGTTGAGAAGGCTGGGAACGAACGTGTCGTGAGCTACAGTTGCTTTTTGCAGTACTGGTTCACATGCACGATGGAAACTTTGAAAGTAGCTAGCGACTCTGTAGTTGCTTGTTGCACTACTAGATGGAACGTGACGTGGCAGTGCTGTGCGTTAATACTGTTCGGCCAAATAAAACGTGAAGATGTCAGGATGGCCGAGTGGTCTAAGGCGTCAGACTCAAGTTCTGATCCTCTAACGTGGCCAAATAATACTCGAGTAATTCTAACTCAAGTTTCTGACGCACTATTTACTCACACGGCTCATATGGTTACGGTCATGAACTTCACCATCATACACCGGAGATACAAGTGCTCACAAATACGGGTCAATTACTCGGGAATTTTACACAGTCTAGCAAGAGCCAGACATGAAAAACTTTTGCATACATTTCATAATACTAGGATCCGTTCCCGACCTATTATTTTACATGCATGGGACCCGTTCCCAACTTGATATCCAGAATATTAATAACTACAACATTTTATATATTTATCTTGTAGGGGACCAGATCTGGATCATGCTGTTGGGTGAGGCACGCGCCTCCGAGGGTTGCCTTACTCGGACCACTACGTCGCTGGGTGAGGCATGTGCCTTCGCATGCTGCCTTACTCGGACCATTACTTCGTTGGGTGAGGCACGCTCTCCGTGCTGCCTTACTCGGCTACTTTTCCACAGGACGACGCACGCTCCTACAGCTTAGTCGGCACTAAGCTCGGGGGCTCGACCATTGCCTCGACTTAGTCGACTTCACTCCAACTACGTTTGGGGCTCGGATTCAACGATGGAAGACTAAATTTTCAAGCATTCAACTACTCGGCGACAAGCGGCATTGATCATTGTCTTCGAGGGGTTACTCCGCTGCACCTTTGAGGATGTCTACAAAATCCTATAATCGACTCCGAGTAGTAGGATTGTAGGCTCGGAGACTACGGGATACATATCCTCAGAGGATGCATTCAAATTTCTTCGAAAAGGGATTGCATACAAGATCCTCCAACTCTTTGTTTCAAATAGCAAGACGCTCGGGGGCTACACTCAGTGAGTGCACTTTTCCAAAAAGCACATACCACTCGAAGATTTCAAGAAGCACTACATGGTTTCACTCAAGAAAGCACCCGGACAATGCTTGTTTCTACTCAGAAAGACCTAGAGGAACAAGAAGGCTTCCAAGTTCAACCATGCATACAGTGCTCGGGGGCTCGTGGGACATAGTCCCTGGGTACCCCACAAGAAAGGGAGAAGATCTAGTCCAACTAAGATTCCCTACATGTAATCCTAGAAACATTGCTACCCTGTAATCCTATTAGGACTCTTACATTGTTGTAAGGGACTGTGATGCCTAAGAGGGGGATGAATTAGACAACTTAAAAATCTACTCTAAACTATGGCATCTAATTCCATCTTAGCAAAACCTATGCAAGAAAGTAATCTATCTAAATGTACAACTATGGTTTTGCTAATGTGTTGCTATCTTTACCGCATAAGAGTCTTGTAACCTAGGTTCCAACCCTATCAACTAGCCTATCAACTAAGTTAGAAAAGTAAATGAAAGTGCATTTGCCCCCTATGTGGGTTTTGGTGTATTGATGACATCCAAATTAGGGACTAATGAGATCTTAATGAGATATATTGCAGCTTTAGTTCCTTGAAAGCTTTAAAAGAGGTGATCTAAGATGAAATGGTGTCCCTCAGTTCTTCAAGTACAAAAAGCGGACGAACCCAAAGCGCTCTTCAAAGCCCTTTTATTTTGTTTTGGGTTTAGGCATGCCGTACTATAAAGAGGGATACAAGTTTAGGTGGTCTGAGGAAGATAGAGTGCTCAAGCATAAAAATAAAATCAAAAGAGAGACACAAAATCACATCACGGATACTTGGACATAGTTTGTGGACTTTTGGTAGTCGGAAGTTCCGGCGTGAGGCGGAAGCTTCGACTATCGGAAGTTCCGACGTTTGGTGCCAGAAGTCCCGGTGCTTGCTGACTTAGCCGTAGCCCACCTACGCATCGTTGTCCGTCGGAAGTCACAACAGGAGTCGGGAGTTCCGGGTGTCGGAAGTTCCGGCTCCCTCCGGAAGTCCCGACACTTTATGACTTAGCCGCCTGCGCAGCTTCGCCTGTCGAAAGTTCTAACGGGAGTCGGGAGTTCCAGGTGCCAGAAGTCCTGGCTCCAGCCGGTAGTCCCGATGCCTTGGGACTTAGTCGTCTAGCTCGTCATGTCTATCGGTGAAAACTCTAGTTTGGTTTTGGTGAATTGATGAAACCCTAAATGCTAACCTAGTTTATCAAGTGATCATGAGATAGGTAGCACACTCCAAGTTGTGAAGCAAACAAAGATCATAGCATGATGAAGATGATGCCATGGTAATGATCAAGTGCTCGGACTTGGAAAGAAGAAAGAGAAAAACAAAAAGCTCAAGGCAAAGGTATAAACCATAGGAGCTATTTTATTTTGGTGATCAAGACAGTTAGAGAGTGTGATCACATTTAGGGTTGATAGCTGTACTATTAAGAGGGGTGAAACTCGTATCGGAATGCGGTTATCAAAGTGCCACTAGATGCTCTAATTCATTGCATATGCATTTAGGATCTAGTGGAGTGCTAACACCCTTAAAAATATTTGTGAAAATATGCTAACACATGTGCACAAGGTGATACACTTGGTGGTTAGCACATTTGAGCAAGGGTGGAGAAGTTAGAAGTAAAAATGAGTTACTGTCGCTGGTTATACAGTGACCGGACGCTGGACCTCTAAGGGACCGGCGCGTCCGGTCATGTGTAACAGTGAGATGCTGACGTCGGTCTATTGACCGGACGCTGGGTCGCTCGGCGACCGGACGCTAAAGGGCTGCGTCCGGTCAAGTGGTCGGTCTACATATCGCTTAGGGTTAAGCACCGGACGCTGGGTTGTGTCCGGTCAGACATGACCGGACGCGTCCGGTCGATAAAAATCGGTTCTAGACCCTTACTGGAAACGATCGGACACTGAGGGTCCAGCGTCCGGTCAACTGACCAGAGCGTCCGTTCGGGCACGGCAGATGACCGTTGGAGTCAGACACGTGGCTGACTACGAGCGATCGGACGCTGGGGGCTCAGCGTCCGGTCAACTGACCGGAGCGTCCGGTCAGCCCGCGTTATGCCCAGTGAAGGGGTATAACGGCTATATTTCGTGGGAGCTTCTATTTAAGCCCCATGGCCGGCTATAGCTCACATCTTTGGCCATTTCCATTGACATAGCAACCTTGTGAGCTTAGCCAAAGCCCTCCCACTCATCTCCATCATTGATTCATTATCATAGTGAGATTGGGAGTGAATCCAAGTGCATTGCTTGAGTGATTGCATCTAGAGGCACTTGGTGTTCGTGTTTCGCTGTGGGTTTCGCTTGTTACTCTTGGTGGTTGCCGCCACCTAGACGGCTTGGAGCAGCGAGGATCGTTGAGCGGAGGGCGGTGATTGTCTCCGGCTCCGATCGTGGTGATTGTGAGGGGTTCTTGACCTTTCCCCAGTAGAGCGCCAAAAGGTACTCTAGTGGATTGCTCGTGGCTTGTGTGATCCTCATCTTGTGTTGGTTGTGCGGCACCCTATTGAGGGTTTGGCGTGTGAAGCCAATTAGCACGTGAACCTCCAAGTGAGTGAATCGCCACAACGAGGACTAGCTTGCCGGCAAGCAAGTGAACCTCAGTAAAAAATCATTGTGTTCATCATTGATTCCGAGGTGATTGGTCTTCATTGTTATTTATTCTTATGATTGATTGGTTTCTTCATCTACACGGCGGTATAACTTTCTTGATCACTCTCTTTACATTACCGCAAACTAGTTGTCAAGCTCTTTAGTGTAGTTAGTTGTGAGAGCTTGCTTGGTTGGTTGGTGTGGCTCTTTAGTTAGCCTTTGAGAGCACACTAACATAGAGTAGTGTCAAAGCTATTGTGTGAATAGATACTATCTAAACTAAAATTGTGGTAGGTGGCTTGCATTTTGAGTAGGCTAGCGTAACACTTGCTTCGCCTCATAATTGTCTAACCTTTTTGTTTAGTGTTGTTGTAGAAATTTTTATTAGGCTATTCACCCCCCTCTAGCCATTAGGACCTTTCAAGTGGTATCAAAGCCGAGGTCACCGTTATTTGAGGCTTAACAACCTTCGGTGTTAAAATGGCTCAAATCAACAACACCAAGAAGCCACCCCAATTTGATGGCTCCAACTATCCCTATTGGAAGGCCAAGATGACAACTTATATCAAGTTAATCAATAGGAAGGTTTGGAAGGTGATAGAAACAAAAATTGAGATTGAAGATCCGAAGAATCCCACCGCGGCCGAAGAAGTACTTCTCCAAAACAATGACATTGCTCTAAGTGCTATTCATGATGCAATTGATGAAAGAACATTTGAGCAAGTCAAAAATATTGAGATGGCTCATGAGGCATGGAAGAAGTTGAAAGAATCATTTGAGGGCACTCAAGCCGTGAAGGGTGCAAAGGCTTATATTCTCAAAGAAAAGTTTGCAAGCTTCAAGATGAAGGATGATGAGAGTGTGCCGGAGATGTTCCATAGGCTTCAAGTGCTTATCAATGATCTCAAAGCACTTGGAGAAGAAGTGAAGGATAAAGACTTCTCCCACAAGTTCTTGAGATGCTTACCCTCAAGATTTGGTACATTGGTCACTATTCTAGTGAGGAGTGGTTTGGACACAATGACACCAAACCAAGTGTTGGGAGATATAATGACCGATGATACTTATAGAGATGATGATGAGAAGGAAGAAAAGAAGGAGAAAAAAGATGAGAAGAAGGATGAGAAGAAGAAGAGCGTGGCATTCAAAGCCACATCATCCAAGGGCAAAGCCAAGCAAGAAATATCAAGTGAAAAAGATGATTTGTGTGATGATGATGATGATGATGAGAAGATGGCTCTCTTTGTCAAGAGATTTGGCAAGTTCATGGTGAA